CAGTAACAGCAACACTGTGTATGACCAATTTTGTGAGACTTCGCTCTTCTGAGCAACACAATGATCTAAGACAATTCTAAAAAATGCTATCTACATCCAGAACTATGGAGCCTAAATGCAGATCAAAGCATGTTATTTTCTCTTTTTTTGATGTTGTTCTTCGTTTTTTCTTTCTCATGGTTTTTCCCTTTGATTCTTCTTTCACAACATGACTAATATAGAAATACGTTTAATATGATCATACATGTATAGCCAAATCAGATTGCATGCCATTTTGGGGAGGGGAAAAAATTTAGAACTCAAAATCTTATAAAAGCGAATGTTGAAAACTAAAAGAGAATAAATACATAAATTTTTCTTAAAATGCTATGTAAGTTTAAGTTGTTTAAGTTATATATTAAGGTATTACCATAGTCTAAGACAGGTGTCAAATAAATGGCATACAATAGTCTCATGTGGCCCAAAACAGATTAAAATGTAATTGGGAAATACTTAACAAAATTAATAAAAGTATTATAAAAATAGATGTTAATATGCACCTACAGGGACTGTTATATCCAATTTAGTGGCCATTGTTTCTATTTGGGTTTGACATCACTGGTCTAGCAGACAGGCAATAAGTGCCTGAAAGGTATTTGCAGTGGAAATGGAAAAGAGAGAAAGGATTAGAAAGATATTATAGAGGCAGAATCAATAGAACTTACCAACTGACTGGATGTGAGAAATGAGAAAGAGGGAAGAGTTAAGTATGACTCTAAGGTTTTAAGCAGAGTGAGTGAAATATGGTGACATCAAAAGAAATAGGTTTAAGAAAAAAGGCAGGTTTTTGAGAGAGGAATTGAATTTTTGGCATGCTGAATCTGAGATACTGGTGGCCAAGTGAAGATATTCAGTAAGCAATTTGAAATGCAGAACTGAAGCTGGGGGATAAGGTCAGTCTGGGAGTCAACTAAAAAGATTTGTAATTGAAGCTATAGAAATGAATGAGTTCCAGAATACCAAAGAAGAAAATATATGTGAGAAAACAAAGACAATTCCAATAGGTACACCCACATATAAGAGTCAGGATAAGCAGTCAATAAAGAAGACAGAGAAAGTGTGGCCAGAGAAATAAGTAAAAAAACTATGAGAATACAATATTATAAAAATCAAGGGTGAATAGAATGTTATCAAGGAAAGCATTATCAACAGTGTTAAATGCTGAAGAAAGAAAAAGGATGAAGGTGTCTGAAAAAAGGCCACTAGATTTGCTATTAATACTTGCATTAATAGTTTTGGATATAAGTTTCAATAGAGTGGTGGTGAAGGAAGACAGATTAAAAGCAGTTATGTATCAATCAAGTTAGGAATGAAGACTGGATGCAGACTGTATTCTTTTTAGAAGTTTAGCAGTAAAGGACAGGAGACTTGAGGGAGAAATCCGGGTCAAAGAATTTTTTTTTAAATTACCTTGGAAGACCTGAACATTGTCCATCTACAAATGAAGGAAATGTCAGTAGTAGATAGCACCAGATTAAGAAAGTAGGAGGGAAAGGAGTTTGGCTTGTGGTCAATGAAAAGGCAAGAAGAAATAGGAACAAGGGAAAAGGTATTTTGATTTCCTTTTGACAGAAAAAGAGCAGTTTAATCGTTGGAAACCTGAAGGATGGAAAAGAGAACAGGTGAGGACACTGCATGGTTTAAAAAAGTAAAAACAAGGATGTGAGGGAGTTTGCATTGCTATTTCTCCACCATTTTTGGAATGTTCTCAAATTCATTAGTACCTCCATAAAGCTCTAAGCCCACTTTAGTACTTTTCAATTGTAATTCAAACCACATACTACACCTAAGACCAGGCCTGTTCAAAAGATCGATTTGCTCTGTGACCAAAGATAATCTAAAGTTGATTGCAATCCTTTGCTCCTCAGAGAACAAAATCTCTGCTGACATTATTTGAAGGCCAGGTGCTCTATCATACTCATTTTGCATCAGCTACTGTGCCGCAAAGTAGCTTACATATAATATGCTAGATAAATATTTTCTGAATCTCACTGTACAAAAATACTAATGATTAAGAGGAAAAAATGTAGAGTTGGAAGGGCAGCTTGATATGGTGGATAAAACACCAGACTTGGAGTCAGGAAATCTGAATTCAAATTCAAAATTCATTTGCTTGATGATGACCTGACAAAAAATGCTGGGGCTGGACCTGACAGCATTTCAGATACCTTTCTGCTTAAATCTATGATCCTATGATCTCTACATTTATTTTCCTAAAGTACTATTTTCATGAAGTCACTCCTCTGCTTCAAGGTGCACAAAATCTTCCTTTTGGCTTACTGAATCAAGCCCTGCACTTAAAATCCCTTCCATACACTAGCTTTATCATTCCAATCCAATCTTGCCTCTTGTCATTAGCCATTGGGGAATGAAGATCCAGTTATATTAGTTACGCTGCTCCAAATCCTGAGTTTCAGTTATTCATATGATTCTAATTCCCAAAGAAAACTAAGATTTGGGATGGTTTTATTATTCTTATTATGTCTGAGTGTTAGTTTTATAATTTAGCAATCATATATAATGCAAAGCATATTAATAGAGGTAACTTTGCACTATTGTATGAAACAAAGTGATTTCTATTATTTCAAGGTACATAATCTCTTTATCACTATCTATGGCTTATATTACCTATATCTGAATGCTATATGTTTTAGGTTACTCCTTAAATCTACATTTTCCTATGGTACTCTGAGGTCTTTCTAGAGCTAGAAAAGATCTTAAGGATCATCTAGTCCACCTATATCCTCTTTTACAGATAAACAATCTGAAGCCCTGAAAGGTAAAGTGATTTCCCAATGTCGCATGGTTTTTAAGAAGCAAAACTGTTATGTCACCCCAGTTCTTCTGAATTATATAATCCAGTGTTCTTTTCACTACATCAGACTGTCTTGCCTAATTTAAAAATCATATATTATTTAAGAGAATGACCCCAAACAATTATGTTACATGTAAAGACAAGGGACAGAGTGCTGGCCCTGGAGTCAGGAGGACCTGAGTTGAAATCTGGCCTCAGACACACTTATTAGCTGTGTGACCCTGAGCAAGTCACTTAACCCTGTTTGCCTCAGTTCATGTGTAAATGGACAGTAGAAGGAAATAGCAAACCATTTCAATATCTTTGCCAAGAAACCCCCAAATGGGGTCACGGAGAGTCAAATGTGACCTGAAACAACTCAACAACAACAAAGACGAGTTCTATGTTGATGTTTTATCCTAGTATAGAGGTTCTCAAAGGCTATGCCAGTGGAATGCAAACTCTGTCAGGTTGTGCCACACTAAAAAAAGGCTTTGAGTATAAGTTTAGCAACAGACTGTGTAATAAATCAAAAGGCATTTGAGCATCTGCTATACGTCAGGCACATATGAAAATGTGGGGATACAAAGACAGAAGTGAAAATGTCTCCACATTACAATTCATCGAGGGGAAGTTAACATGTACATATAGGTTGTTATTATTATAATTACTACAATTACTGTTATGTAGCTATACACAGAACAAATATAAGCAACTGGAAGGATTAGGAAAGGCTTCATACTAAAGGAAGCAGTTGAACTAAGCCAGGAAGGAAGCAAGGGAGTCTAAGAGGTAAAGGTGAGGAGGGCATATATCTTGTTGTAAGGCATCAATTTGGTCTACTGAAGCAAAAATTTCTCTGCAATAAATAATCAATAAGCACAATGGGATCTTATATTCTCTACATTTTTCAACTGACTGTGAAATAGTACAGATGTGATCCATTGATGAATACTGCTTGAAAAAGCCTTCTTGCTCTTGACTAATACCCTCATTGAAGATGCCCTCAATTGATGCATTGGTGACCCTCAAAGACTTTGCATAGATAGAAGCATAGGCACAAAGGTTAATAGTCACTGATGTTTCCTTCATCACCTTTTTAGGTACTAAGAAGGTCTGAAATTTTTTTTCCCTTGGCTTTGGCATCTCTTCCTCCTGCCCTCATAACTATACCACCTCTACTGACTTCTATACATACTTCATCCAACACAGCTGTTTCTCCTCCCCCCCCCCTCGTTTTGTTCACTTTAGTGTCATGTCTACCTTCCTGATAAGTATATCTGAGACAGTGAGATCAGGGTCCAAGTGTGGTGGTGCCACATGCCTTTATGGAGAAAACAAGTTGTTAAAATCTTTTTTGAAATCTTTGTCATTTTTCTTCTGTTTTTAGTTTTCATTTTTTTAAACTCTGAATTCCCTTTGCATGACTTTACTTAATTAGATATGTTTATGAGCTTTCTTTAGACTGGTTTTACTCTCTTCTGCTTCTTTCTGCTTTATGAGACTATCACTCATAATCATCTATAATCCTTCTTCATGAGATTTTACAAATGACTTTATATTTCTAACCTGGTGTTACCTTTGGCAATCACCTCTCCCTGGCAAGCAAGCTAGATATTTGCTGACTAGGGTGTTTTCTGGGCTCTTTTAGTAGTCTTGTGGCAATTAATTAACACTGGGTAAACTTATGGCAACTAATTTACAATGCTTAAATGCTGAGCAGAGAAATTTATATTTGATCTTACTATATAAAAGAAAAACTCTAGAGTTTACTGAATAGAGTTGGAACATGGTCAGATATGTGATTTAGGAAAACATCTTGCAGCTAGATTAGATTAGTGAAGTTCAAAGAAGCCTATTACCAGAAATTTGGTCACTAAGTGTTAAAATACTGTTTTATCAGGTTCACAGCATCTCATGAAGATGGTCTACTAAGCTCTGGAAAGGCATTGATCTATGCCAATAAAAGAAATACTCAAATTAGTGAAGTCATAGGTCTTGTAAAGTTTGAAGCAGTAGTTAAAGCATTTGGGAACACATACTAAAAAAAGACTGAATAAATTTATAATCTTATTTGTCTTTTAGATAAACTAAGTTTAAAGGATGGTACCTTAGCATTTTTTTTAACCCATACACATGTACCAGTACTAGATGCTCAAATACTTACAGGTTCATATACAATCACAGATTTGTCCACCGATCTTTAAAGAAAGAGAAAAGAAAAATTTGTGTGAATGTTTTTATAAATAGGGAAAATTTTAAATTTACTTAAATTGTACTTAAAACATTACCAATTCAATAAAGACAAGAAAGAAGTTTAAATAAATACATATTTTTCAAACGGAAAAACATACATAATATAAATAAAATAAAAATATGTAACAGAATATAGAGTGTAATAGCAAATCCTTCTAATGGTATAAAGGTTCATATATAATAAACTTTCAAATATAAAATTATTCTATGAAATGAAAAATAACCTCATTAAAAGATTAATATGTTAGTTGCAATTTGCAATAAGTAGTTATAATTAGAACAGACATCTGTGAGGTAAAAATTTTTTTAAATACATTTCTAGTTCTTGAAAAGTAACATCACAAAAGGATAAAACATTTCAAAAATAGTTATTGTTTGGTAAGCCATATACGACCGTGAATAAATAAATCTGCAATCTGATTTTGTTCCTCTTTTTAAATACATAATTCTTAATTTGGTCTTGTGGTCACATGGACTATTCTTAATAACAGCCATTTGAGATCACTCTAAAAGGTAAAACGTCTTTTATAAATGAAGTTTTATATATTAAGAGGAAGCATAAGTACTCTAATTTATTTTTTTCTCTTTAAAAAAAGCACAAAAAAATTTATACCATCCCTACTACAGGTTTATAGCAGGTAAAACAAATTATATAAAACAAAGACTGTGCCCAACATATCATGTAGCAATAATTATATTATTTTATCTGCTGTAACACAGTAGCTCAAATGGCTGAACAAATTATGGTGTTTGAATGTAATGGAATACAACTGTGCCACAAGAAATGACAAAAGGGACAATTTCAGTTAAACATGAGAATACTTGTAAGAACTTATGCACAGTGAAATCAGAAGAACCCAGAGAACAATTTATACAATAAGAATAATACAAAGAAAAACTACTAAGAAAGATCTAAGAACTCTAATCAATATAATGACCAACCATGGCTCCATAAGACCAATGATAAAAAATGGTACCTATTTTCTAACAGAGGTGATGAACTCAAATGAGATATGTATTTTTGGATGTGAAAAATGTGATTTGTTTTGTTTGATTATGCAGGTTTGAAACAAGGGTTTTGTTTTTCTTTCTTTCAAGTTTTTTAGGAGGCAAAGGGACTTGGGAAAGAAGCAGAATAAGTCTAAGGTTAACAAAATTTTAAAAAGAAGGAAAGTATGAAAAGGTCATTGAAGGATATTAAAAATTCACTGAAGAAAAGATGTCAGAAAACACAAACAAGACAGCTTTGGCAATAACTTGTTAAATTGTGAAGGAGCAAACTATATGTAGTACAGATTTGCAGCTGTGTACGCAATTATAAAATTTTGCTAACTGGATCCACTACAAATTTACATTAATCTTAACTGTGCCTTCTCCCCTGCAAGGTATTCCTTTTATACCTCCTTAATTGATTTGGTATCTCAATTACCTAGGTAACTTTTCCAAATTTTTTGATCCCTCCTCAAACCTCTTGTAGCTTCTCCTCCTGCCATCTTCTCAACTAAGAACCTGCCTCATATTTCACTGAAAAAAAATGAAGCACTTTCCAGAGAGCTCCCTCTTATCACTTCCTCTTCTCAGATCACAGGAAAGACAGAGAAGGAGAAATTACAGCACCATAATGTATAGGCTACCATTTCAATCTAAAGAAAACAAAACCAAACCAAAAAACCAGTAAGTGAGAACAGCTCAGAGAACAAGGTTCACTAATTTCACACAGTAAAAATTTTAAAAGTGAGCCTATTTCACCATACAAGTAATAATTTATTTATGTTAAGTTATTTCCTAAGAGGACAGGCTTTGAATTTGAAAACTGAGCTCATCTTATTATATTGCCACTCTTCCCTAACTCAAAATATAATTAAATTACAAAAACCAAAATAAATAGCTTACCCTGAAACTAACATGTGACCATCATAAGAAAAAGCACAAGACAGAACTGGAGCAGAGTGTCCACTCAGTGTACATTTATGCTTCAATTCAAAACCTGCAATTAACACAGTAAGAAAAATGGTAAAATAATATTTAGAATTTTAAATGCCATTTTTTGAGAGCAAAAAACTTTCAAACATTCTGATAAAATTTTACTAAGTACAAATCTTGTTGTTTAACTACATATATATGTGTATCCATTTTTTTTAAATACCTAAAATAAAGCTGACTATTTTAAAGTATAATCTTATAAAGTGGGGGGAAAACATACACATTTTTACTAATTTTCTTGAAATAACACTAGGTACCAACAAAAAAAATTGGGCTGATTTCTCCAACAGACCATTGCCTAATCTCAATAAATTTTCTCTCTAGGTAATCAATACTTTAAATCTTTAATTTTTAAAAAATTTTTTTTTCTTAGGCAATTGGGGTTAAGTGACTTGCCCAGGGTCACACAGCTAGTAAGTGTGTTTGGTTTGAGGCCGCATTTGAACTCAGGTCCTCCTGACTTCAGGGCCGGTGCTCTATCCACTGCACCACCTAGCTGCCCCTTACTTTAAATCTTTAAGGGAGATAATAAAAAATAGAATGTAAATGATATGAAAAAGTAAGTTGATGTTCAACAAACTATTTCTAAATTTTATTTTATTTTCTAAGTTATAAATTTCACTTTGCAATATAAAGTTTTTTATTAATTAATTTATTTCATCAATAATCATTTCTGTGAGTTTTTGAGTTTTAAATTTTTCTCCCCCTTCCTCTCCACCTCCCACCCCAAGACAGCACACAATCTGATACAGGCTATACATATACATTCCTATTAAACATATTTTCACATTAGTCACGTTGTAAGGAAGAGCTAGGAAAATTTCATTTTGTCCTCTATGATGCAGGAGTCAGGACTACTAAGAGCAAGTGTCACAATGGAGACCTCACAATGAAATGTCACAGAGGCCTTTCTCTTCAGGATTAGATGAGGCTTGGGTGAAAGGGTATAAATAGCCAAGAGCCACACTGAGCTGGAGTTAACAAACAGCAGCAGCAGCAGCAGCAGCACAGCAGCAGCAGGACCAGTGAATCTGAACCCAGGAGAGGCTTCAGCAAAAGGGAGAAATTGGGCTCTTCTGGGAGCCAAGATAGCAGAGTAAAAAGGCAGTCACTCTCACCCTCCCCTATCAACCTCTGAAAACCCAGAAAATATCACCACAGGAAAAAAAAAAACCCTGGAACAGCTGAACTAGAGAAAAGATGGGGAACAGCAGCAACGCAACCCAGCAAACGGGTCTCCCAGTGCCTCAGCAAAAATAAGGGAAGCAGCACTACAAAGTGCCCTAGGAGGATAAGCACTCTGCAGCATTCATCTGCAAGGAACTGAAGAAAGCAACCTAGAGTCCTTCTAAAGTCCCAGCCTTGCTGATTCCAACCCAAAATCAGAACCCTACAGCATCCAACTGTCAACCAGGAGGAGATCCTGAATCCCAGGTGGTAGAGCAAGCAAACACCCAATACCTGGACCTCTGAGTGCCTCAGTGAAGGCGGGGAACCGGTGGAAACCAGCTCAGAAAACCACCAGGTACCTTGGCACTATACCTCAATGGAATCTCCCAGTGCATTAGCAGAAAGTAGGAAGGCAGCATTACAAGGGGCCCCAGGCAGATAAACACCCTGCAGCACCCATCTAAAAGGTGCTGAAGAAAGCTAAAGGAAAGGAAAAGCAGGCAACCTAGAATTGCCTGAAAGTTCCAGCTTTGCTGATTCCAGCCCAACAAGAGGTAAACTGCCAGAACCCTACAGCCTCCAACTGCCAACATAAGAGGCCCCAGCACACAAAGCCAGTGACCAAGACCTAGGCTCTCAACACAAGAAGCTCAGGTCAGTGCCCTCTGTTCCCCAGCAGGACAGCTCAATCTGTTTAAAGGCCAGGGAATAAAGAAACCATGAGTAAAAAGAAAAGTACCATGGATTCATATTATGAGAAGAGAGAAGATCAAGACAGAAATTCTGAAGAGGACAACATTGTCAACAAACCCACAGCTGCAACATCAAAAGGGAATATGAACTGGTCTGAAGCCCAAAAAGCCTTCTTAGAAGAGCTTAAGAAGGATTTTAATAGTCAAATGAGAGACATAGAAGAGTCCTTCAAAAATACAATTGGCCAATTGGAAAAAAAAATACACTGAAGAAAACAAATCCCTTAAAAATACAATTGGCCAACTGGAGAAGGAAGTATAAAAACTAACAGAAGAAAACAATGTTAAAAACTAGAATTGGATAAATGGAAACTAATGACCATGAGAGAGCAAGAATCAGTCAAACAGAAACAAAAAAAATGAAAAAATAGATTAAAACGTAAAATACCTCATTGGTAAAACAAACCAACCTGGAAAATCGATCCAGGAGAGACAATTTAAAAATTATTGGACTACCTGAACATCATGATGAAAAAAAAGAGCCTAGACAGTATCTTTCAGGAAATCAAAAAGGAAAGTCCTTAGAAGTCCTAGAACCAGAAGGTAAAATAACCGTAGAAAGAATACATCGCTCAACACCTGAAAGAGATCCCAAACTGACAATGCCAAGGAATATAATAGCAAAATTCCAAAATTACCAGATGAAAGAGAAGGTGCTGCAAGCACTATTTAAATAGCATGGAACCACAGGATTACACAGGACCTTGCAGCTTCTACATTAAAAGACCACAGGGCATGGAACATGATAGATAGTCCGTAAGGCAAATGAGCTTGGATTGCAGCCAAGGATCAACTGGCCTGCAAAAATGAGCATGATTTTTCAAGGGAGGAGATGGATATTCAACGAAATAGGGAACTTCCAAACCTTCCTGATAAAAAGACCAGAGCTCAAAAAATTTGATCTTCAAGTACAAGATTCAAGAAAGACATAAAAATGTTCAGCTGGAATCTCAGGCCATGAAAATTTGAGAAGGACAAATGGATCCCAAGATTTCTGCAATGCAGATAAAAAGATACTCCCACACCAGAAGGTTTCATAAAGGGCACTCCACATCAGGAAGTTTCTCCAATATAAAGAACTTTTGGCTGAAGACTGAGACCAACAAATTGTTTCTCCAGGCAACAAATAAGACTTTCCTATGAGATGCAGACCAACTAGCATGTGAAGAATTTACCAAGATCAAACTCCTTCTCCAATGTTGATGTTCCTGATATTTTTGTATAATAATAAATTGTTTACAAAATTAAAAAAAAAGGAAGAATGAGAAACAACAGAAGGAACCACAAGAAAGAGGAAACAAAACAACAAAACAGAAGGGAAAAAAAGAGCAAATAGTATGCTTTGATTTTCATTCAAACTCCATAGTTCTTTCTTTGGATGGATTTTCCATCATGAGACTTTTGGAGATGTTCTTAGATCCTTGCACTGCTGAGAAGGGCCAACTCTATCAAAGTTAGTCATCACACAATGTGGCTGTTAGTTACTGTGTACAATGTTCTCCTGGTTCTGCTCATTTCACTCAGCATCAGTACATACAAGTCTTTCTAGGTTTTTCTGAAGTCGGCCTGTTCATCATTTCTTATAGCACAATAGTATTCTAAGACATTCACATACCACAGCTTCTTCAGCCATTCCCCAATTGATGGGCATCCCCTCAATTTCCAATTCTTTGGCTCCACAAAAAGACCTGCTATAACTATTTTTTGTACACGTGGGTCTTTTTCTCATTTGTATGAGCTCTCTGGGATACAGCCATAGAAGTGCCATTGCTGGATCAAAGGGTATGCACATTTTATAGCCCTTTGGGCACAGTTCCAAATTGCTCTCCAAAATGGTTAGATCAGTTCACAACTCCACTAATAATGCATTAGTGTTCCAATTTTCCCACATCTTCTCCAACATTTATCATTTTCCTGTTTTGTCATGTTGGCCAAACTGATAGGTGTGGTATGGTACCTCAGAGTTGTTTTGATTTGCACTTATCTAATCAATAATGATTATTTTTTCATATGACTATAGATGGCTTTAATTTCTTCATCTGAGAACTGCCTGTTCATATCCTTTGACCATTTATTAATTGGGGAATGACTTATATTCTTATAAATTTGCCTTAATTCTCTATATAGTTTAGAAATGAGGCCCTTATCAGAGACACTGGTTGTAAAAATTCTTTCCTAGTTTTCTGCTTCCCTCCTAAATCTTGATTGCATTGGTTTTGTTTGTGCAAAAAATTTTCAATTTAATGTAATCAAAATTATCCATTTTGCATTTCAAAATGTTCTCTATCTCCTGTTTGGTCATGATTTCTTCTGTTCCTTATAAATCTGACAGGTAAACTATTCCTTGCTTTCCCAGTTTGTTTATAGTATCAGCCTTTATATCTAAATCATGAACCCATTTTGACTTTATTTTGGTATATGGTATGAGATTTTGGTCTATGCCTCGTTTCTGCCATATTCTTTTCCAGTTTTCCCAGCAGTTTTTGGCAATAGTGAGTTCTTACCGCAGAAGCTGGGGTCTTTGGGTTTATCAAATAGTAGATTACTATAGCCATTGACTACTGCAAATTGCATACTTAACCTGTTCCACTGATCTACCACTCTATTTCTTAGCCATAATCAAGTAGTTTTGATTGCCACTTCATAATACAATTTAAGATCTGGAATGGCTACGCCACCTTCCCCACATTTCTTTTCATTAATTCCCTTGATATTTTGGACCATTTGTTACTTCAAATGAATCTTATTGTTTTTTCTAGCTCTATAAAATAATTTTTTGGTAGTTTGGTATGGCACTGAATAAGTAAATTAATTTAAGTAGAATTGTCATTTTTATTAGCTTGGCCTACCCATGAGCAACTGACATTTTCCCAATTATTTAGATCTTACTTTACTTGTGTGAAAAGTGTTTTGTAATTGTGTTCATATAGTTTCTGGGTTTGTTTTGGTAGGTAGACTCCTAAATGTTTTATTATGTTTATAGTAACTTTAAATGGAATTTCTCTATCTCTTGCTTTTGGACTTTGTTGGTAAAATATGGAAATGCTGATGATTTTTTAATTTTATATCCTGCAACTTTACT